GGGTTTAGGGTTTAGGGCAGCCTCCCCTTCATAATGTCGGGGACGTGCATCTTTGTGGGTCCCGTCCTACACCCCAGCAAATTCAAACCTGCAACCTTGAAACCTGAATTCCCTGCCGGACCCAAAACGCAAAGCCCTAAAGTAAGCCCCACAAAACCCCAAACCCCAAAAGTAGGACCGCCCCCAGGCGGGTTTTTCTCTGCCATCGGTACGAGGGTGACCCTGGCGGTTGCGCCCGGAGAGGCTGACACCATGCTCGGGGTGCAGGTAAAACCCTAAATCCGAAACCCTGTTGGTAGGGTCTTTAGGGGTTGGGGTTTAGGGTTTAGGGTCTCGCAAGGTTACATAAAGGCTATTATTAGTTTCTATATGATTGTTTCTAAGAGGTGTTCTAAGGGCGGGTCATAGAGTTTTCCAAGCGATTCATGAGGGTCTATGCAAAGGTAAACCCTAAACCCTAAACCCTAAACCCTTAACCGAAAGGTTGTCATAAGGGCTTTAGTTCTCCAAGGATTTTTACACGGGCTCTCAGGCAATGAGGGGTTTCGGGGGTTTAGGCTAACCGGGCTTGAGGATGTATGTTGGGTTTTGGGGGTGTAGGACTTGAGGCTCGGGGGTTTAAGGTTTAAGGTTTAGGGTTTAGGGTTTAGGATTAAGCGTGCCGGGGGTTTACCTTTTGAGGATTTGTCGGGCTTCCGCAGTGAAGTTTGGCCCCAAGTGACCCGAAGATCGGCATCGGAACAGTGACAGTATTCCCTAAACCCTAAACCCTAAACCCTAAACCCTAAACCCTACCCTAAGTTCGAATTAACAAGGTCCCTATGCCAAGGCCTTAAGAACCGTTCCAAACCTTACCCAAAGCTCAAGCTTCGACCCAGCTGGGAAAGGGTGAGAACTACGTTGAGTATCTCGGGGATAGAGCCGAAACAAGTGGTGGAATAGGTTTAGGGTTTAGGGTTTAGGGTTTAGGGTGTAGGGTTTAGGAAACCCTAAACCCTAAACCCTAAACCTTTCATATTCCCGACGTACTTATTCTACCCTGAACCCTAAACCCGATAATACTAAACCCAGTAACTGATATACTCCAAAGACCCTTTTCATTCAGGCCTCTACAGTAACATAGAAGCCTAAA